ATCGAGATTGCACTGCATTATAGTAAAGTATCATTAAAACCCATTCAGTAGTTTTTGCGTGAAAGAGTAACAAACATCCATACATCTTCACAAACTTTCACATTTATAGGTATAATGTATTATTCTTTAGGCAACTGAGAATATTAAGGGGCTTAATTTAGTCAGGGTGCAAGCAGGCACCTCACGGTGAGGTGCCTGCTTTTTAAACCGGTCTTTTTAAACTGGTCTTTTTAAACCGGTCTTTTTAAACCGGTCTTTTTAAACCGGTTCCGAGTCTTGGTGAGGTCCTCACCAAGACTCGGAACCGGTTTAAAAAGAGCGGATAATTTCGATTACCGGTAAATTTATCGCTCCTTCAATTACCGGTTAAAACGTAACCGGTTTTCATTTAACCTAAACGATAAAGGATAACGGTTACTAACGAATAAATGGTTTTGACACCCAAATTAACCGGTTAATTCCGTAAAACGTAAAGGCAGTTATGAATAGGACAGGTAGATTCACGTTGTGAGGTGCTTATGCGGCATCGCCGCATGCGGGCAACTTATCAACAATTATTATCTGCCTTTAAGCAACACGTTTTTTCACTCGCGATCCGGGGTCTAGTGGGATATTGGCGTTTACGAAAACCGTGGAAGTATTAGAGAAGTTTTCGCGCCAAAAACGTGCCTGATGGTAAGGCAGTTATTGTGTTTGGTTTATTCGTTAAGACTGGACTTGTCTCATAACGAAGAAAATAATTTATTCTTGTGTATCGGTTGTTTATTTATGATGGGGAGAAAAAAAGTAAATTAATAATTAAAAAGTAATTTATTCCATGTTTACGTTTCACAGTGATAGAGCCACGCGGCAACTTTTGCTATGGTAGCGAAATCAAATAAAAAACTACCCCAAGGTACCAGCATCCTGGGGTGGTTTTTATTTGAATCCTTCGCTGAGCACCCACGCCCAAGCTACCCTACTGATCCTGAGCGTGGGTGCTCAAAACCTGCCTCGAGTATTCTGGTATCTGGGAGAGGGGGGGGAGAGAGATCCTATCCACAGATATCATGATCCTTGGCGATTTTAACGCCCATCATGCCGAATGGCTCGGTTCACGTTTAACCGATCATGTGGGGAGATTTGTTTATGACTTTGCCTCGCGGTTGCATTTTGCAGGCTACATCCCGCAATTTGAGTGTTCCATGCCAGATATGCGGTTTACACAGCCCTCGGTTCGTAAAGCACTCCTCTCCCTGGTCATCAATAAGTCGAGTGGGCCTGATGGAGTCCCTCCCACTGTGCTGAAGACGTGTGCTTCGACTTGTCACCGGTTTTAACGCGTCTTTTCCAGTACTTCTACTCCTAAGGCGTTGTCAAGAAGAAGAAGACAGCTTTGGTTTACCGGATCCATAAAAAAAGCAACCGCTCAGACCTGTCCAACTACAGGCTTATTGCCATCAAATCCTTGTTCTCCAAAATAATGGAATCCATCATAAACAGTTTTCGTCAGGGTTGATCAGCTGGTGATGATCTGGTCTACCTAACTCATAGATGGGCGGAGGCAGTAGCATACAAGGGAGGCATTGACCGTTATATTATTTTGATCTTGAGGAGTGAGAAAACTTGGCTGCACTTTTAATCATTCTCTTTTATAATTCAATTAAAGATTGTAGATATCGGTGTGATTTATACTGTTCAGTGTCTAGTTAATTAGGAGTTATTAATAATTACTTTTAATAAAAGACAGGATTTTTAGTGTATGTATTTGGTGACAGTCAACAGCAAATTATAGCAGACTTTATTAATGATTTGTTAGATTCAAATTATTTTTCTTTATTAATTTCAGTATCAGTAAATTTAGTTTCATCTATGTGGTTACCTTCCACTCTATTTAAAAAAGCTAATATTTTAATAGCATCTTGTAAGTATACAACATGGTAAAATATGCTTAAATTCCTCATTAATAAGATGTGAAAAATGGTAATTTCTTTTGTCTGGTTCCACTTTAGAATTCTCTGAACATGACAAACAATTTTTTATTGTGTTTAGACATGACTTCTAGTTAAACTTTACACCTCAGAAGTGGTCATTATTGATTTTTACAAAAACGGAGATAGGGATTGATCATAATCACTAGCTTCTGAATTTAAAAAAAAAATCTGGTAATCTACCTCACTTTATGTAGTGCTAAAAAGAACAAATACTATAACATATTATAATTTCATAAACTTTTAAAAATATTGTGTGTTCTGTTAAGAAAGTTCATCATTTATTGGAATATATTCCTAAAACTAATGACATTGAATTAAAAATGCAGTGTAATTTTAATAGAAAATGTTCAATATATGTAATTTAAGTCAATTAAATATATAAGGTCAAATTAAACTTGATAATGAAAATTAATTTTAAAGTGAAGATAACACATAATTGGTTGAGACAAAACTTACATCTGTTATATATAATACCATTGTGCTGAAAGATGAAAAAATATGAGGGATGATGTTACAAGATAGTCTCATTGATGCAATGAATACATTGTATGTGCATCTAAAAACCTCATGAATTAAGCAGAGGGCAGCCGTACAAAGTTGGGTGCAAGTGGGGTTATGGAGAAGGGCGACATTACAAAACTTGGTTTTAACTGGTTAATTCTTACTATCTAAACGTAAATTTGTGAGAAACCAGTATTCCACAAAAACTGGGAAAGTACAACCTTTAACCAAAACCGATATTGGCTTGGAGTCAATGACCAAAACCAGTTAAGAATTTGAACAGGTTTCAGAGCCCTACACCTCACTAAGTTATCATACTCTTTTGAAAGATGGTGGCCCATTGCTGGCTGATGAAAATAATGATGTCAGACTAGAAACATTTAATTACAATTTTGTAAGTGTGGAACATGGTACAAAATTATTGCAATTTTTTCAAAGGTTATTCTCTGAACAAATTATATTGAGGTTTGTACATTATATATGCATATATGTCTAATAATATATCAATTAGTAGATTTATTATTGCATCCAAAAAAAGATATTTAATAAAAATATACCACTTACCTCAGGAGTTGGCAATGGTGATGATGATGGAGGTAAAGGTGCCTGACCATCCGCCATAGAGATGGCCCAAGACACCACAAAGGTCACAAATATCAAACTTACAGTCCGGAACTTCAGCATTTTGAGGCTGGAACATAATTTATTTCACGTAAGAAAAAACAATTTAAGAAATTTAAGCGCTAAAAGTATTTCTCAAATGCTTGATTACAGGAACCACACAATTATTCAGGAAAACTGTACCAATAAGTAACACTGAGGCGTTAAATTTATTGTTAGCAGTTCACATCTATTGTACGATAACAAAGTTAAAAGTTGGGCATAAAAAACTATCACGATTAGACCCACTTCTAATAAGTAAAAAACTACGTCAGAACTCATAACCACATAGATAAAAACTGTTAAAGACAAATATTATTCTACAATCAACTTCAGCATCGGATCTTTAGAAACGGGCTGTGATCAGTCCAGTTAAACATAGCATGACCAACGTCACCGGTTTAGTGGTGAAGTGGTGAATGCCAATGCCAACCAAACACCATATTATTGAATATGACTTACTTTTTGTAACTACTTTTGAATACAAGTTTTAATGATTAATTTTCAAATAAAGCCTTAAAATATCACTTTCGTTTAACTTATTCCAAAACTTCATTTATCTCCAATTATAAATAACAAAAATTCAAAAAATTACATTTTTCAAATATATGTACAAATGACAGCAAGGTGACAATTTCTTTTTTTTTTTGAGCTTATGGCCTGGTGTCTAGACCTTTAGGCCAAGTCTTGAGTATTTTTATTCGGTTTATTATACTTTCCCCACTGTATTTTTGATGAATTTATATAGAGAATTTATATACGAGAATTTACGTACAGTCAATCGGTAACTTTGACAGATCATCACTATATTTTTTTTTAGTTAATTTTTACTATGTTAAATATGAGACAAAAGATTTTACTTAATCTATGCTCTCAGGTTGGTTTTCATACTCTCAAGACATTTAAAGTCTATAAAAATCATAAAATATATCAAAAACTGGCAATTTTGTTGTGTGTCAAAGTTATAAACCGGTGAGTTTTGGCGGGAAATTGACCGGCGGCGGTTTGCTGCTCCTGTATTATTGTTTAAATAATGGTTTGAAGTGGACTTTGATATGTAAAAGTGTTGCGATTTTGTGTATTAAGTGTCTACGCATGTGAAATATTAGTGGAAACAGTGAAACAAGTGCTCTGATAGTGATGGATTCTCAAGATAAGCTGTTTGTTTGCATAGGCACCTTTAGATACCATCGCCAACTATCAGCTGTCTGCTGGATCAAGTTGCCGCCAAAATCTCCCAAGAACTGCACAATGTGACGCATCAACATATTGTGAAGCAGTATACTATGAAGGAGTGAGGAAATTACAATAAACCGAATAAAAATACTTAAGACTTGGCCTAAAGGTCTAGATACCAGGCCATAAACTCCAAAAAAAAAAGTTATAAACCCTATATTCGTAATAATCCATAGATAAATATATAGTAATAATCGGTGTGAGATATTTTAAAAGTAATTTTGTCCAATATGTTCATCGGTCGTTGTTAATTGTTTTCTATATTGACAACTTTATTTTTCAGACAGTAACTATACAATGATTCAATCACCACACAGCCTAGTATAATGTTTTAATATGTCAGTAGTCGACTGCTTTAATCTTGTATTTTTGCCTTTTATTATTTCTTTGTTTTTTTTTTCTGAAATAGTTTTCTCTTTTTCTTCAAATACATATTATTAACTTTTAAATTTAATTAAAATTTGAATTGAGGTTTTAATGTTTTGTAAACAGTTCACTAATGGGATGGTATTGTTTGCATTGGATTCACAAATTTTACATAGTTTTTTTTTTTATATAAGGTTATTTTATTAAATTATTGTTATTTTATTTTAAATATTTTATATATAGATATTTTATTTGTATTTATTTATAATTTTAGTAAATTTTGCTATTTTTATGTCTGATGTAGAATCTTTTTATTCTGTAGATGATTCATTTCTTTCTTTTAATTCTTGTAATGATTATTTTAGTGACAGCGGGTCTAATCTACATGATCTACTGGAAGGGGTATTTTCAACTTGTGATAATTTTTTTAACATATGTCACATTAACGCTCAAAGCATCCCTTGCCACTACTCCGAACTCGAATTGTCTTTCTCTTCTAATTACGTTCATGCAATTCTAGTGTCGGAGACCTGGCTAAAGCCATCTTTGCATTCAACCTTATATCCCTTGCCAGGTTACGTGCTTATAAGAAACGATCGCACTGATAAAGGAGGCGGTGGGGTGGCTATCTATTTGCGTGCTTCGGTTCCGCATAAAATAGTATTAGCCTCTCCATCTTGCTACTCAGGCTCAGCGGAGTATTTATTTTTGGAGCTTGACGTCAAAAGTGCAAGGATGCTTCTAGGAGTTGTGTATTGCCCGCCCTCCTCTGATTTTTTCGCCACTTTAGAAACGGCTCTAGATGACGTTTGTTCTGAGTACGCACACTGTATAATCATGGGCGATTTTAATACCGATTTGTTGAAGATTTCTCTTCGTTCTCAAAAACTTCAATCAATAATGGAGTCAGTCAATCTTACCTTTCTCCCACTAGGGTCTACTCATCACAATGTCGATACCGATGACTCCTTAATTGATCTTATTCTTGCTGCTTCTCCTGAGCATGTTGTGTCACACGGACAGTTGCCTGCTTTGGGTTTTTCGCGTCACGACCTTTTATACGCTTCTTATAAGCTCAAACCCCCAAAGCGCTCTTGTCCCTTACTGCCTGTACGCAATTTCTCTAAAATTAATTACGATAAGTTAATGAGTGACGCTCAAAATCTCAATTTATCTTGTTTGGTAGCAGAACCTACAATTGACGGTAAAGTCTCTTTTCTTAATGATAAAGTTCTCAGGTTGTTTGATGCTCATGCTCCTGTCCATAACGTCCGGTTGAAGCGTCCTCCTGCCCCTTGGATGACTGAAGGCGTAAGAATGGCAATGGTAAGTGCAATATCTTGGGATTGAATGAAAGATGTCTTTCTCGTAACGGCTTTAATGGCGGACTGAGCGGTGACGTTACAATAATTAACAAATACCTTACACCTCCAGCCTTAAATATCTACATAATTATATAGCAATGAACTTAATAACTAGTTTTAAACTTATAATTTAACTAAGTATACCATTAATCTAACATTGGAATTTAATTACGGGTTTTCGGATTCGCCTGGAACGGGTCACTGGCCGCGACGGTGGCGGTGGTTGTGGAGGAGTGGCGGGGCCTGGTACAGTCTCGCTGGGACATTGCGTATCTGCCACGTGCTCGGTATCCACGTCATCTTTTCCAGCCGAAACCGCCACCTCCGTTTGCAACTCTGAAGACGCATCTGCAAACTCATCCTCATCCTTTTCATCGACCTCATTAGTGATATCTGGACAGGTAACATCGGATAAGCGCGACCTACGTCTTATTTGATCAATATGTCTTTTAATAAGTCGACCGTCACCATTGTCGAGAACGTATCTTCCAGAACCTTCTTTCTGGGCTACCGTGCCCTTGACCCATTTATCCCGGGTGCCGTAGTCCCTACTCCAGACGGTGTCTCCCAAAGAGAAATTACGCGGAACACCACCCGCATATTCGACTTGACGCTGCTGAGCATCGAGCACACGCGCTTGCACCACGTACCCACCGCGAAGTAAATCCAACCGTGAACGCAAGGAACGTCGCTGCAGCAAAAAACTTTTAAATTCAATACTTGTGAAAGGCGGTCCCTGGTCAGACACTAGTTCTAAGGGCAAACCGAATCTTGCAAATATTGACCTCAGCACCTTAACAATGGAAGTCGCATTCGTTCGCGCTACTTCAATAATTTCAAGCCATTTCGAGCTCGAATTTATTAAAACTAAATAAGTTTTACCTTTATACGGTCCTAGGAAGTCTATGTGAACTCTAGACCAGGGAGGCAAGTAGGGCCAGGGGTTAGGAGGCGCGCGCGGCGGGGCGTCCGCCTCAGAGGCGCAGGTCTCGCAGCTTCGGCATAGCGCTTCCACATCCGCATCGATGTTCGGCCACCACACATAACTCCGTGCCAGCCCCTTAGTTTTCACAATACCCATGTGGCTGCTGTGTAGTTGTTTTAAAATAATTGGACGTAAATATGAAGGTATTACCATTCTATACCCCCACATAATCGACCCGTTATCTAAATATAGTTCATTGCGCCTAACAAAATAAGGTTTAACCTCTTCACCAGGGCAAACTGTCGGCCAACCCGATTTGATATAGGCGAAAATTCTACTAAGAATAATATCCTTTGAAGTCGCCTTCGTAACATCCTCATTAGTAACCGGTAAAAAATTTTCAACGAAGTTAATATAAGTAATTTCTCTATTTATCGTTTTTTTATTATTAGAAGAAATTGGTAATCTTGATAAACCGTCGGCGCAATTTTTATTAGACGTTACGTATTCGATATTGTAGTCGTAACCAGATAAAAGTACGGCCCAACGTTGGATACGTGAAGCGGCCATAACCGGTATTCCCGTTTTTTTACCGAATATGTGTGTTAACGGTTTATGGTCCGTACGCAATATGAATTTTCGCCCATAAAGATACTGATGATATTTTCTTACACCGAACACAATAGCGAGCGCCTCCCGATCGATCTGCGAGTAGGCTCGCTCTGCAGCCGTGAGCGAGCGCGACGCATACGCCACCGGCCGCTCGCCCTCTGGCGTCAGGTGCGAGATCACTGCACCTACACCCACGCTACTCGCATCACACGTCAGCACAATAGGCAAATCGCTAGAGTAATGCATTAGAATTTTACTAGAACTCAATAGTTCTTTTACCTTTTTAAAGGCTCTTTGACAATCGTCACACCAATCAAATTTTATTCCCGTACGCAATAAATTATATAAGGGTGCGAGAATAGTCCTGATATTTTTTACGAATTTTGCATAATACATTATCATTCCTATATAGGCCCTTAACTCAGACACGTTCGTAGGAACGGGAGTGTCTACTATTGCCTTAATCTTATCCGGACAAGTGTGAATACCATCCTTACTAATTACATAACCTAAGTAATTGACTGATTCAGCAAAAAATACACACTTTTCCTTTTTAACTCGAAGTCCGTACGACTGCAAACGGTCAAATACTTTATGTAAATTACTAATATGCTCCTCTGTGTTGCGCCATGTAATAATTATATCGTCCAAAAATACGCCTACATACGGTAGATTAAATAATTGCTCTAAATGTTTTTGAAAAATGCCAGGGCTTGATGATAAGCCGTATACTAAGCGGTTATACCTAAACAAACCTTTATGTGTGTTGATCACCGTATATTTGGCAGATTCGTCAAGTACAAATTGTGCGTAAGCTTGTGAAAGGTCAATTTTACTGAACCTCTGCCCCCCTTGTAAACGTACCAGTAAGTCTTCTACTCTAGGCAAAGGATAACGGTCGACTTCTATAACTTTATTTAAAGTTAACTTATAATCGGCGCAAATCCTAATGTTACCGTCTTTTTTCACTACGGGCACAATGGGAGTCGCCCAGTCGGAGCGGTCGACGGGTGTGAGGATACCGTCCGCCACCAGCTGCTCGAGTGCGCGCTCCACGGGTGCACGCAACGCATAAGCCAGCGGACGCGCTCGCATGAACACGGGCTGCGCTCCCTCCCGCACGCGGATGCTCACCGGCGGCCCAGTGAACCGTCCCAGGCCGTCCGCGAACACCTTACAATATCTGGAACTGAAATCGTTTAAGTTAAAAACATCATTCGATAAACAGTTTAAGCTTCCAAATGGGGGTAACTGTATATTGAGTTCTGCCAACCATTGTCTGCCTAACAATATACTTTTACCATTTTTAATAACATATAAATCGAGATGCTTTTCTTTATCTTTGTACTTTACTAAAGGCCTTATCACACCTACAGGTTTCACTTGTTCACCCGTATAGTACCTTAGCAACAAAGGACACATATTCAGTTTTAGGTTACTGAATTGTTGTTTATATAACTCGTAGCTAATACATGAAACGGCACTGCCTGTATCACATTCCATTTGAACATCCCTACCGTGTACTGTTAATGATATAAACAATGGTTTGTAATGACTAACGCTTAATTGATTAATGCAAACCATTACCTCGTCACTTCCTTCACTGTTTAATAAACTGTCAGTCTCACTCTGCACCACGTCGAGGCTGTGTTGTCCTGCTAGATAAGGACACATCCTTTGTAAATGCCCTTGTTTATTGCACACTCGACACACGTAGCGAGCAAACTTGCAGGTCACTACATCGTGTGCATTACCGCACGCGCGACACTCGCGCTGGTGTCGTCGATCATCCAGCACCGATGTTGATACCCTCGGCCCGGTGGGCGTTGCTGCTGCTATCCTGGATGCTCTGCCACGCATCCTGACCTCGCCCTTACTGCCCGCGCGCCGCTCGCCGTCACAACCGATCGCGCGCCCGGTCCGTCTTGTACTGACCATCGCGTAGCAGTTTGTGGATGCGCTCGAGTCTCCAGATATTTTCGGATGCACATCGACGCTGGCTGCATCCTTCTCCGCCGCCTCCATACTCACGGCTAATTGATAAGCCTTGCCAAAGTCTAGTTTGCTTTCGGCAAATAATCTCTGCCAAATTGTTTCACTACTGATACCGCATACGAACTGATCGCGCAAACTTTCTTGCAACCAGCTACCAAACTCGCAAGTTTTCGACATTTTCTTTAGGTCCGTTACATATTCTGATATACTTTCACCGTCCCTTTGTTTTCTTTGTCGGAATTCAAATCTTTCAGCCAGCTCGCTGGGTTTTGGTTGAAGGTAATTTTCCAAAATTTTTGTTAGCTCTAAAAACGTTTTTGATGTGGGTTTTTCCGGGGTACACAAACTCACGAGTAGTTCATAACTCTCCGCCCCCATAACCGTGATTAATGTAGGTACATGTAGCTCACTTGATATTTTGTTCACAACAAAGAATTGTTCGAGCCTTTCCACATATAGTTTCCAATTGTCTGTGGCCACTTTAAATTCCGATATTTTACCAATCGACATGGTTTAGGCCGGTTAGCTTATACACACGCGAACTTTTACGATATATATTTATTTTTCTTTTTTTTTTTCTCTCGTCGCCAATGCAATATCTTGGGATTGAATGAAAGATGTCTTTCTCGTAACGGCTTTAATGGCGGACTGAGCGGTGACGTTACAATAATTAACAAATACCTTACAGTAAGACGGAATCGAGCCTTTCTTAAATTCAAGAGGGAACGATCTGAAGAAAACTGGTCAATCTTTAAATCTGTCAGGAATAGGTGTAATCAGATGGTACGTGCTGCTAAACGCCGATATTTTCATAACTGTATAAATGATTCATCTCCTACCGAAGTGTGGAAATTCCTCAGAACTGTGGGTATTGGCAGGCCATTCAAGGTGGACTGTGGTCTTTCGATATCTCTCGATGAGATTAATCAACATTTCGCTTCCTTCAAAGCAATGGATCCTTTAGTCCAAACTAACACTTTAAATGCTATTGCATCAATGCAATCTCCTCACATTCCAGCATTCATGTTCTCTCCTGTCGAGCAGGATGAAATCAAGAAGTTTATTTTAGCAATCAAGTCTAAGGCTCTGGGCTGCGATGAAATAAGCAGACAAATGGTCGTCACTATCTTAGATCCTCTTCTCCCGTCAATAACTCACATTATAATTTTTTTTTATAATGTGTATTAATTTTAGTTTGACTTTTTTTTCTTTTTATTGCTACGCCTACGACAAACTCTCACCACTCCATGGGTTGACTGGTAGAGAATGCCTTGAGGCATTATGTCCGCCCTTTGTATCCTTTTTTTCTAAAGGGACGCAATAAAGTTTTTAAATAAAATAAATAAAAATAAATAAATAGTAGCACACTTTTTCAACTTTCGCCCCTTATAAGATGGTTCTCCTTGTACACTACACTCCATACACCTATATGGATAACTTTGACACAGATGAGATTTGTAGCAGGAATCTGATCTTTTAAATTCATTACGTGGTAGAGCCATGCTGTAGCTATATTAGTAGTATAGTTGTAGAACGAATGGGTCGGCTCGACCGGGAAAGGACCACGCTCTCAAAGAAAACCAGCGTAAAATAATAGCAGCTTAACGCTGCTATGTTTCATATGGTGAGTGTAGAGAACCGGGGATCCCTTTTACTGGCAAAGAGGCATTCCATCTTAGTCCTCACGGGTGACAACACATCTGCATCTTGAGTCTTTATTGAGGATAGATGTAGATGTCTATGGGTCACAGTAACCACTTACCATCAGGTGGACTGTGTGCTCGTTTGTCACCCTATCCTATAATAAAAAATCATTTTATAGCTTCAGGGTAACATAAGTTTAAGTTTTTTACAAATTTCAAATGCAGTAGAGTCATATACAAGTCAATAAAACCATAAAGTTATAATTTTATCTAAATTTAAACTCTTTGCTAATGACATTTAAAATTTTAAAAGTTTACCACTACAAAAAAAAAACAACAATTGCGCGCGGTACTTTTAAATAAGTGTTTGACATTAACTTCGTAAGACACCTTCTTTTTTTTTCCAGAGAGTTCGTTTACGAAGTTTGTTAAGTACACGAATTGTATAAATTTAATGTTATGTACTATATGTTGTGCACGTAAAAAGTTAAAAAGTATTTTGTGATTTGACTGTCTAAGTTAACCTTGTTAATCAAAGTTACCCTGATAGATTTTTTTTATAGGAGAGGGGGCAAACGGGCATGCGGCTCACCTGATGGTAAGTGACTACCGCCGCCCATGAACAGCTGCAACACCAGGGAGGGAATCGCAGATGCGTTGCCGGCCTTTTAAAAAGGAGTACGCTTTTTTCTTGAAGGTCCCTAAGTCGTATCGGTCCGGAAAAATCACTGATGGTAATCGATTCCACAAGGAAGTCGTGCGAGGAAGAAAACATCTTCAAATCGCACAGTGGTGGACCGCCAATCATCCAGATAGTGTGGATGGTATCGGGAGTTCTGCCGCGATGTGCATTCGTGAAATTAGGCAGCTGGGATTAATCCGAACAATTCCTCAGAGCACTCCCCGTGGTAGATGCGAAAGAAAATGCAAAGGGATGCAACATCTCTTCGCAGTGCCAATGAATCGAGCCGATCGGAAAGGACTCGGTCGTCGACGATTTAAGCCGCTCTGCGCTGGATGCGGTCAAGTGGAAGGAGCTGGCACCGGGGAGCCCCTGCCCAGAGATGGGAACAGTATTCCGTGTGAGGCCGAACCTGCGCCTTGTAAAGTTGCAGGCGGTGCGCCGGCATGAAATACTGTCCCGCTCTGCGGAGCACGCCAAGCTTTTTAGAGGCCAATTTGGCCTTCTCTTCCAAGTGACCACGAAACTGCACGTCATTCGATATGTCGACTCCGAGGATTCCGATACTGGCTGAGGCAAGAAGGGGAGTGCCTTGAAACTGAGGAGATACGACAAAGGGGTTCTTTTTAGCGGTAAACGCGCAAACTTGTGTCTTCTGAGGATTAAACTGGACTAGATTTAGTCCCCCCAATCCGAGACTTTGTTTAGCAAAGACTCGACTTCAGACACAAGTTTGTTCCGGTACTCGACGACGTTTTCCCGAGAAATATTGATATGTAGGAGTAACAGCGTTGGTGATAGCACGCAGCCTTGTGGAACACCAGCGTCGATAGGCTTGAAATCAGAGCATGCACCGTCTACTACGACCTTGATGCTCCGATCTGCAAGGAAGCTGGTGATCCAATTGCACAATTTCTCGGGAAGCCCATAAGAAGGGAGCTTCGAAAGAAGCGCTTTGTGCCAAACCCGATCGAAGGCCTTCACAATGTCCAAACTAACGGCCAACGCCTCCCCCTTGTACTCTACTGCCTCTGCCCATCTATGGGTCAGGTAGACCAGAAGATCACCAACTGATCGACCCCGACGAAAACCGTATTGGCGGTCACTAATCAGCTGGTGATCCTCAAGGTACCGCAAGAGCTGGCAGTTAATAATTGATTCCATTATTTTGGAGAACAAGGAGGTGATCGCGATAGGCCTATAGTTGGACGGGTCTGAGCGCTGTCGCCTTTTTTAGGGATCGGGTGGACAAAAGCTATCTTCCATGATTTCGGGACTACACCTTGGGAGTAGGAGTACCGGAAAAGACGCGTTAGGACCGGTGTCAACTCCGGAGCACACGTCCTCAGCACAATTGGGGGGATTCCGTCAGGCCCACTCGACTTCTGGATGTCCAGGGAGAGGAGTGCTTTGCGAACCGAGAGCTGTGAGAACAGCACATCCGGCATGGAGTAGTAACACCGCGGGATGGTCGGCGGTGTTTTCCCCCCGTCATCAAGAGTCGAGTTGGACGCAAAAAGGGAGCCAAAAAGGTTGGCTTTGTCTTTTGCGTCTTGGGCCAGTGAGTCGTCCTCCCTGTGCAGAAATGGTAGTGATGGCTTACAGAAATTCCCTTGGACAGCCTTGGCGAGAGACCAGAATGCATGGGTTCCCGGAGGAAGGTGAACTAGTTTCTCGCCAATTCTGCCTATGTGCTCTGACTTTGCCTTGGCAATAACTCTTTTGAAGGACCTGGAGATGAAGTTATACTTCTTTTTAAGTGTGCTGGTGTTTACATCCCGAGTCGCCGAAGCCGCAGCCCAGGCTTGATAACACTCCTACTTACTGCGTAATGCAATCTTACAGGAGCGACCAAACCAAAGCTGAGATCTGCCTCCGATGGGTACCACTGATGATGGAATAAATAGTTCCATTCCCTGTAGCACCACATCAGTGACAGAGTCAGCAACAGCGCTGAGATCATCTGGCGAGAAGCAAACCCGCCCCCATGGGTAGGATGCAAAGAAAGACCGCATTCCGTCCTAATCCGCCGACCTGTAATGCCAACCACGGCGGCAACCTGCAGAACGCAACCGCGAGGGGAGCGTGAGTGGCACCACACTCCGGATCAGACAATGGTCCGAAGAGCTGAGAGGGGCATCGACGGAAACCTGATATCTGACCGGATGAGAGGTCAGCAGAAGGTCCAACAGGGAAGGTGTATGATCCTCCACATCTGGAATCCGCGTAGGCGAAGTAACCAGTTGTGTCAGACCATATGCCAAAGCAAAGTCATAAACAAATCTCCCCGCATGATCGGTTAAACGTGAACCGAGCCATTCAGCGTGGTGGGCGTTAAAATCGCCAAGGATCACGATCTCTGCGGATGGGACCTGATGTAGCAAAGAATCTGTAGCCATTTGGACGTGGTCAATGAGTCGGTCTGTTTGGGCATTACCGCTATGGGACCTATAGAGGCATCCGTAGACGCGCGGATGGTCGTCGCTGTCTACACGTAGCCATAGGATGGACAGGCCCGAACCTTCAAGACTGCCGAGGCGTCGAGAACAGATGTCCTCTCTGACATACACGCAAACTCCAGCCCGAGGCACAAAGGAGTGCTCCAATTTGTA